GTGTATTGATATAGATTCCTGTAATCCTCTACACAATAGGACTATTTCTAGAAGAAAAAGAAATAGCAATAGGAGTCAACCAGGTTCTGCTGCATGCATATGGGCAGGTAAAAGAGGCCCTGTAATAGTATTTCAAATGGATATTAAGCTGTTTGCCTGGAGTTTAGCCTTAAAATGCATTTTCACTTTTGCAGCCAAATTGAGATAACACTTATTTTATATTTGTTACATGTCCCCATTCACAAATTGCTGCTTACATTTTTATGTACTTTTTACTTGCTTAAAAATCCTAACCAGCGTCCCCCCTATGTAATGTTAAAGGTGGGGCTGTGGGAAGTTATGTTTACTCTAATTAACCCTGTCTGTACTCTGCTGGCAGATCTCATTATCAGCTGTAAACTGCAATCGGAGCACATAACAAACATATATAGTTTTTTTCTCAAATTTCACTGCAAATGTGGAAATATACCATATCCATGTTACAGCTTTTTGCTGTGTTTATTTGGTTCGTTTTCAAAAAGAGAAACAACATTATTCCCAAGCAGGGTGAAAATGCCAACTGCAGGAGCAAGAAATCTCTTTCCAGAGCATAAACAAAATACTCCTGGAAAACTGTCTTGACTAATTACTTCCTTATCCAGCCATGTGCAGATCCAGACCACGGCACAGGGTCTGGTTTGTGGTCGGCACGTTAGACAGGTCTGTTAAAGGGGTAGACCGAAATAACAGGAATACAAAAAATATGTTAGACATCCAAGTAAACATAATTTGAAATAAAGAATTTACACTGATTATGCAATTTGGCCAGAACATTTAGAATTTAAATGTACTACATTTTCTCAGTATCATATAAAAGAAAACTAAAAAAAAGAGACACGAAGCAATATAGATAAAGAGAAAACATGCTCTTCTACAATTTCATCAGGAACACTCTAATGTGCGCTGAGCATCACTAGAGTAATGGCAAAAAGGTAACTTCCCATTACCTTCACAAACATGGAAATGTTAGGCTGCTGGTCTTCATAACAATCACCAAACTCACAAACCTGCCACAATCTTTTATTTTGAGGCATTTATATTGAAATGATTATTTCATTTTATGTGATAACAATAAAAGATTTTTGATCAGCTGCAATATCATTTCTTAATAACATTTGCAGATCTCTGCAACTAACGCCAGAATTTCAAAGCCTTAAAGGAGAACTATGAGGTGAGTAATTTACACTGATCCTCATAGTTAGAGCCGAAGTGTGACAATGAAACTGTCACAGGTCGGCTCAGTAGATCGGGAAGTGAGCGAACACATATCGTCGCTCGCTCACTTGCCGATCATCTCCCTGCAGAGATTCCCCTCCCTTCTCCGATCCTCCAGCGCTGACTGGATGAACGGATGGGGAGGGGGCGGGCACAGCTAGATAGGCAGAGCCTGCTGTCAGCCAGCTGGGTGGATCTTGACAGTATTGTCGGGATCCATCCCGGCTGCAGCTCTCTCAGGATATAGCGGAAAATAGCCCGCTATATACTGAGCTTTGGGTCACGGGAGGAGGTTAATATTTGTCCTCCCATAACCCTAAAGAGGACTATGTGATAAAAAGGTTACTCCATAGTTCTCATTTAAACACTTGGTATGTCTCAGATTATCACAGGAGAAAGCAAGGCCAAGAGTGGTTGGCCTTAACGCAAAACAAGACATATATGATCCATTTGGAAAGTGGCACCACCAGGCACAAAACAATGGTAAGTCATATTTTCACCACTGCGCCTGAAAAAATGTGATCTGGTTTATCTACATACTGTACTTCTTCAACTACCCAATAGTATGTTAAAAACCACCATAAAGATACTGTAAATCGACAAAATTTGTAAGGTTTATTAATCTTCGTGGCCAAGACAAAACCCTGTCTGGATCCTCCCACTCTGATGTGTTTCATTTCATCCAGGATTCAGGAGGGGTCTTGTCTTGACCATCTGGATCAATAAAGTATCTTGAGAACGCTGAAGATAAATGGTGTGTGGTTACATTTCCTAAAGGAGAACTATGGGGTTAGGGCTTTTCCCCATAGTTCTCCTAAGGGTAATGGAGGGACACAAACTAGCGTCCTCCCGTCACCCTAATCTCAGTATATCGCGAGCTACAGCTCACGGTATACTGAAACGTCGCAGCTGAAACGGATCCCGACAATTATGTCTGGATCCGCCCAGCTGCGTGAGTGACAGCTGGCTCTGCCAATCTAGAGGCAGAGCCAGCTGTACCTGCCCCCTCCCCCGTCCGTTCCGCCAGTCAGCGCTGGAGGATCGGAGCGGGGAGGGAGGAATCCCGTCCCTCCCCTGTCACGGCTCTCTGCCGAGACAGGATCGAGAAGTGAGCGAACGCCGGTATGTGTTCGCTCACTTCCCGATCTACTGAGCCGACCTGTGACAGTTTAATTGTCAAAGGTCAGCTAGAACTATGAGGTGAGTGAACAGCACTCACCTCATAGTTCTCCTTTAATGATGGCTTTGTATGTGGTAAGCAGAGATGGGCTCCATGGTTGAACCTGTGGAGGCAGGAACCAACAGGGGCATGTAAGCAATACCATTCCCTATTTGTGGAATACCCAATAACATGTATTTAAGATATTTGAAGCATTTCCAAAATAACAGAAATTCTGCTCCACTGAGTGGATACTCGATTAGCCTAGTGTATTTATAAAATGGTAAAAAGTGGTCCTTACCAGTTAGCTCTTTGCAGAGCATCAGTAAACCCCCAGCCACAGAGAAAGATCTCCAGACCAGATCTGAATGCATTTCTGGAAACGCTGGTATGTGCATCTTTGATGTGTTATTGATGTGTTCCGATGCATGTCTCAGCTGGATTTCTGTTGCGTTCCAGTGTGTTCTGATGCGGAAGCATGCATTTACGTGTGTTTTGGTGTATTCCAGACCAGAAAAATAGTGCATGCTGTACTTTTTTTAAACGAAATGGTGTGAACTAGCCTCACTTTTTATCATTGGAATAAACCGGTATGCGTTTTTGAACCAGACAAAAAACATTCTGAACAAGCCCTTAGAGAGCACAGGTTGCCTCCCCCTGGGTGGCCTTTGAAGTAATTTGCCTAATATGGAAATTGTATACTTCTTTATTAGGTGCTATTCTAATAAATGAAGTTGTGTGCACTATGAATACCTAGCCATGCGCAAGGTAATTTGAAAAAAAAAAACGGATTTGCCTTCAACATGCCTAGATGACTGAAACACAAGATCCCTTTATTCTTCCTATATGCCTTCTCTACTCTATTAGTAAATCACTTTCAAATAGTCTCGGCTTCCTGCTGAAGAGTACTGTACAGTGGCTGTGCTTCACTGTTTCTTTTTCTAAGAGCATACCTTTGAGTCAGGTCTCAATTCACAGAATAGAAAAGACATGGTATAAAAATACCCGACTTTATCTCAGCAGTCTTCAAGCAGGAATACGGATTACATTCCATTAGGTACCATAGAGGACCATAAGGGCAGCGTTTATCATTCTTTTTCTATACTATAACATTGATAATTCGGAAAGGCAAATAAGTAAAAAGTTACATGAAGAATTACTTTTAGGTAAATGCAAAAATATTATTGAAGTGCCTAGTAAAATACCAGTTGTTAATCTTTAAAGTGTACCTGCACTTTCAGTGCATTTAACCTTATTCTACTGTCAGTCTTATGATAACCTGTCACCATTCCCGTGTGATTTCGGCTGTGCCACAGAGCCACTTACCAAGGTCGTTCCCAAAGGAATTACTCATGCACACCACATTCTACATTTAAACCTATGGGGAGTTCATACTCCACTGGAGCACGAAGTACAAACATTCTATGTGTAAAATAAAGTAAAAGTTGAAATAAAAAGTGCATTTACACTGTAAAGGTAAACTACAGGTATTTGAGTAGGCACTTAGTTACTATTGTAGCATTTCCCTACATCACACAGAAATAATTATTGATGTGACTTTTTACTTGCTGCTCCAAATTTTTAAAGTCCCTATTCAAATTGAATAATGTTAAAAGAAACTCTACCATACACTTTATTTTGTTCTTTCTTTCTTTCAGTCTGTTAATGTAACTTCATTTTCACTTCTGTAAAGGGTAAGAACATGACGCTTATGGCCTCCGTTTACTAGATTCTCACTTTCATATTTGTGTGTTTACATTTTACAGTCTGCATTTACACTGTTCATGTAGGAAAAGCATTCCATGGTAAGTAGTGCGTGTAGAAACATATTTGGGGTTAGATGTTTGGTTTCAAAACTTTGTGGTTATGAGTGTTAAAAAGTTGGCCTGCATTCATCTGCATGTGAGTTAATGAAGCGGAGGCCTCACAGCTCTCAGTGTGGTTGGAATCCAATTGTTTTGGAAGCTGGGTTGCTCTCTGCCAGTAAGTGTAAAGTGTTCACAGACTGACTTTCTCTGCTACTGCTCTGACCATCTTGTTACTTTTATCACCAAGCAGGAGACAAATACAAAGAAATGTCACTGAAGAGTACTAATGAATCAGAGAAAAAAACACACAGGTAGCCATGATAATTCATTGGTATAATTCTTTCTGAATGTGGTATTGGCCCACAATTTCAGCCTTATGGATAGTCTATCGGAGGAGCATGACACCTTAATTTGACTTTGTATTGCGCTTAACAACTGTGCATGACAGAGAATTCTGGTTGGAATGTTTCACAACTAGAGACTTGGAGAAGCAGAAGAAGTCAGCTGGTGTTGGAACTTGCCAACAAATATTCAAAAACTGTGATATCAAACTTGGAAGGAGTTGGCCTATAATAAGGAATCACATGATGGTCCTCACCAGCTCCTTATCAGGCATATAAGAGAACAAACAAAACTGAAATCTTCAAAGACACTAGGGCACTGTACAAGCAGCCCTGTTGTTACAGTAAAACAATTCAGAGAGAAACATACTGTAAAAGAAGAGAATGGTTAAAACAGAAAAAGTCTAACATAGGAAAAAACACACGTGTTTGACTTACCACGTGGAGTTGGCACAAGCCGGTCATGACTATCCATTTGACCCAAAGGTTCATTTGAATCTGGCAAATCCATTTCACCTAAAATAAAAACAGCATGCCAATTAATTGAATGGCATTTTTTTTTTTAATTAGGGTTAATTCTTTCCTAGACACTTATATCTATTAATGCTTCTAAAAACTGACATTGACTAATCAATACAGTTTGTGTGGTCTTTTTAAACAGATTAAAGCCAAATTACATAACATTCAAACATAATATGGCGGAACAAGAGAAATCTACACGTGTGTGGCTAGCCTTACAGTAAGAGCATTGAAAATGTAAAATACTTTTACAAAGGAGCTAGCGCTACCCAACAGTAGATACTTCAGAAAGGTCTAGGTTTGTTTCTAAATGCGCAAAATATAGCTGGTGGTAACATTTATCAGAAATATCACTATATATTGTTAATCCAGGAAGTATTGTCTTTGGAAATAAGAAAGGAATTATATCAAACATTCTAATGTTTTTTAGTATTTTTCTGGATCAGCTGCGGGTTTAGCATTCTCAGGATGCAGATTATTTATTTATTTATTTATTGTCTTTGGTTAAACTCAATGTATGTCTTTTTTTAATCTATGTAATATAACTTAGTTATTAATACATAGCACACATGCTCTTCTGCCCTATTATAGCACGTGTTCAAAAAGCTCTTTACAACACTGTCACATTTAGTGACCTTTTAAAACATGCAGTGCTGATTGTAACCCTCAGCCTACCCCCACCTCTGGGCTCAAACGGACTACAAAGGATACACATCCAGACACAATGACATCAAGCAGAGAAGGGGAGTCACACAGTGATGTGACAGAGCTGCTCTAGGTAAATGACCCTGTACGTGTCTTCCATGAAATTGATGTATTTTAGCCATTTAATCACCGCTGTAACCTAACACCCCACAGACTGTGAGTACTGTTTTACAAAGCTGACCCTTAACACTGCAGAGGTTACAGTTACAAGAGGCCTTTGACATACCTATTGCTCAGACTTTCCTAGAAATGTCCCAGGCTGAAAGGAAAGTAATGCATGATAATAGCGAGAGTTCATTTACATCCATATAAAAACCCTGCACGGGGATCTGAATAAATGCAGATTTCATGCTGAGGACTTCTAACCATTATTGAGTTGTTGCACATTATCTGGATTGGAATGCCTGCTCAGCCTCATTAAAACCAATCCGGCCTGTTAAACATACGTCTATTCACATTCTAATTTCATTTTGTGCATCTACTAATTTCCGTATTACTATAGAGCCTTCAGGTTCACGATTTGCCATGGGCTAGGCCGCGGGGTTCTACTGTTACATAAAAACATTTGTAATCAATTTCAGGATTGCTTTCTTTGGCCAGCTACAAAATGTTTATTTTCACAATGTAATGGCACAGTACTTAGGAAAAATTTACTTGCTCCAGCATAACTACAATGGGCACATTGTGCACTCAGACGAATACTCATAAGTGCTGGTTTAAATATATATTCTGTGTACCCGTGGGTAGACACGCTAGAAAAAATTTTCTGCCTATAACTTAAAAACAATTGATGCATGCAAGGCAGAATTTAGTGAATGGTGGTGAATGGTGTAGTAATTACAGCATATCTAAAAATCTGATGGATGATTGGCAAAAATAAACAACTTTTCTATAAAGAGGTCATAATATATAATGATGCTCTCATTTAAGCAATGGACACATTTATGCAGCTCTCCTTGAAGAAAACTATTTAAGTACACTTGTTCATAGGAAAAAATTATAAACTTAAAGGATTACATAAAGTACAATTTTTTTCATTAGGCGGGCTTTTCGGAAAATCTCATCTAACCTCCGCCTGAACAGATCCATATTTACCTTAATAAACCGCCGCTCTTCAATACTTTGCCTCCTGGTGGCAAAAACTTCTATAGGCCTGTCAACTGATACAGAATTCGGTTTGTGGATGGGTCTATAGAAGTTCAAGGGGGGTGACTGCACAAGCATGGCCAGCCCTAAGAAAATGTTTGCTTCCAGGAGGTGAGCAACTGAAGAAGATGTAGCAGTGATATTAAAATAGGTACACCTCTATGGAAGAGGAGGCTGCTGTGATTTTACCCTGGGGGCTAAAGACAGAGGAGAGCTGCAATAAATTAGTTATTGTTGAAGGATACAAAGAACAAAAATGTAATATATTGTAGCTTGGTGGCTGCATTCATTTTCATTTTGCAGAATAAGAACATTTACAGAAAAAACCTGCTGAGGTTGCCAGAAATTAAGTGTCCTTGTCACTTCCTGTGAGTTGAACTGAAAGCGCAATGTTATATTTCTTCTGTAAACAAATAATTACACTCCTATGTAAGGCAGGTGAAGAAAGGAATACATGTTTGTAATCCAGCCTGGGGAAAACCATGACTCCCTCCACATGTACAGAGGAGGGGTGAGCATAACCACCATAGGACAAAAAAAAGCATTATTTGCAGGATTAAGAGGTGAAAATAAAGGAAACAAAAGCCTCAGAAAAAGAAACCAAAATGCAGTCACCTCATCTAAGTGCATAATTGTCTTTGGCTGTAGATACACTTAAAAACTGAACTCTGGGGCACATATACAACACAGGATTTACTTTTATTAATTCAAATATTTCTGTTTTTTTTTTACATAAAATTAATACAAGTACCTGAATTTATTCACCCATAATTATCTGCATAGAAGCATTCAGACTGGTAGAGAAAAGGACACTATTCTGAACCAATAAAACCTCTACTGCCTGATAAATTGCTGTCAGTAGTTAGCCATATACTGCTAGAGTCAGCAGGACCGAACTTGGAGCTCTGGGTGGCCCTGTTGGCACCATTCCATTCAATAAAAGTTGACTGAAAATCACCTTTTGTCAAGGAGGCAAGCCGAAGATTGTCCACAAAGTTTACTGTGGATGGCTGAATTGTGTGTTTTTTCCTGTTCAGCCCGCGAGGTGTATGGCCAACTTAACAGTCTGAATATGCTTTCAGGAATAACAGTTAGGTATCCCCCATATATACATAAAACATAACCCCTGCTTTTTTCTTTATGTACAATCATGTGTTCAATATCTTATCTCCTCTTCCTTCAAAGAAAAATGATCCCACCAGTGGCTTTACTACACAAGTCACTTTATCTTTATCTAGTTGACCCTGAAGTGCATTGACAATCCCCTGGCATAAATCTTCACTTAACAGAACACTTGAGCAGGGGTCATGTTATTCATTTCATCTCCTTCATGTGGCAATGTATGCAGCTGTCTCGCTGCCACAGTGCTAACACGATGCTTCCACAATAGACAAGCCAAGATAATTGCATCTATGCCTGTGATTAAACCCTCTTGGCATTCACAGAAATGTATTCAGGTCCTATCTATTCACTGCTCTTAATCCTACTTTAAGTCTTGCAATTCAGTTCCTCTTCAGTGCTTATTAAATTAGCCTTTTAATTAGCCTTTTTCTAAATACAGCTTGGAACCATCTCTTTCAAAGTGATTATTATTATTATTATTATTATCTGCCTCCAGATATACCAACACATACATTAGGACTATGAATCTGTCTTTTTTATTATATTATTTTTCGTTTTCATAAGATCTGCATTTTTTGGGGAAAATTACATAAAAACCCCCAAACAATTATATATATTCTCAGCAAAGGCCCTGGAGAATAAAATGGTGCAGCTGCAATTTTTTTTATCTCACACAATATTTGCACAACTGTGCAAAGATACACTAAAATGAATTTTAGGGCATACAAACACAATATAATATCCAATCTTTTGCTAACATATAAAAGATAAGGTTGCATCGATTAAATAGTTACCAAACATGTCAGGCCTTAAAAATGTGTGCGCCCCTGAAATGGCAAAAAACAACAGTACCCAAAATTGTCCATAGGTGACTTTAAAGCCTTTACAGGTCATCAATGTAGAGTTAACAGCTTCAACATTTACAACAATACCTAATATGTGTGGCACATTTGCTGTTTATGTACACATGCGTGTGTGCGTTGGGTGACGGGGTTGCTTTATTGCTATCACAAGGAGTTTAACTAGCCCCCAATGTGATAGCATTAGGCAGGTGAGAGGTACTCTTTATGAAGACATCAGGGGACTATGAAATATCTAATGTCTCCTCTGCCCTCCACTCCAGCCAAGCAAGCACAGACTATGCTTGATCAGCTGCTTACCTGGCATTTCAGCTGGAATTCTGACAGCCCTGAACCTGGAAATTCTCAGAGCTGAGCGCTTCCGGGTTCATTGATTGCAGAGCTCCTGCTTGCCATCTAGAGGAGCGGGAGAGCCTGGGAACTACAGTGGCACCTTCACGGTTCTGTAAAAGTAATTGGGCTGCTATAGAGCCACCTTGATCACTTGTACTGGATAGCTGGGAGCCAGCTGAAAAAAACAGCCTTGAGCTTGCTTTAACCCTTTGCGTTCAAGGCCTGTTTTAATATGTAGGTTTTATTTAAATTAAAATTGCTTTTTAAGGTTTTTTTTTAGAGTTGTTCCAACAGTTTTATTTTGTTCACAACGCTTTCCCGAACTTCCAGTCAGAGAGGGCGCATAGAAGGATCACCTAATACTCTGATCGGTACTAGATGTCCTATGATCCTTTGCACGCAATCACAAACCTTCTAACGCAGATCAGGCAACCACTTGTCAATAATGAGCTGGTGAACAGAACAGCCATTTTGTGAAGAAGTTGCCTGTCTGTTCCTGTTCATGCCTGCGCACAAGTCATCAATTTCTGCAGCTGCAGTCCTAGTCAGGAACATGTACATAGGGGTGGCTACACTGAGCTCCAAGAAGGCCCTGCAGGGGAACTTATGCACCCCATAGAAGAAAGTGTTCAGAAAGCATTCACATTTTAGATGTTGAATATGTTCTTCTGGAGGATATATTGTCCTAAAAAGAAGGATATGTAGCATTCCTTACAGCATGTTACAAACCTTGTGTAATGGGTTCAATAACACTAACGTACCAAATAGATTAAAAGGGCCTCCCTCAAATACTGGTGATTGTTATATATGTGTATATGTGATGTTTCTACC